AAAAAAAAAAAAAAAAAAAAAAAAAAAAAAAAAAAAAAAAAAAAAAAAAAAAAAAAAAAAAAGCAGTCAATATTTTTTATCTCCTGCAATTTTTGCATTCTCATTTTGTGAGCTTTTTTGAACCCTTTATGCCGTTCAACCACACTTGCTCTTGATAAAAATTGTTCCACCATATGCACTATTCGACATTTTGAAACCTTCCACATGACGAGAAAATTAACTTCACCAAAACAACTGTAATCCTCACATGCATCAACCAAACAAGTTGAAACTTATACATCACATAAATAAACATTCTCTGTAACTAGTTCCGTTCATCCCTGATAGATGGCATTAGTACTACTACTGTAATAATGTCAGTTTGTGAGGTTTATCATCACACTGTGTATATAGCTTTCAATGCATTTTAATTACCACTCTCTTTTTACCTTCTATCCTGAGTTCTAAATCAAACATGTGGTGTAGGTATCTTAACTGTTAATGAAGCTCTCTGTAAGAACATTTCATTGCTTGCTAATATTTCCTTGTAGCTGTGAAATGAAACTGTACTGCAGCTTTGACAACCATCCTTCTGAGTGTGTTTTTCATAATTTTCATTACAATGACAGGACTGGAATACCAGGTGTAATTTTTGCACTGACATCTTTATTATGTTCTCATTTCTGACACATGATATACTTCAGATGTTGGTAATAAAATACTTGCATAAATTTAATTCGGTTAGAGGACTTACATAATTTTTGTGTCTCAATTTCCATTTATAACAGAGGTTCTGACTTAAAGCATTAACGACACTCCTCTTTCACCATGTCTGAGCTCCTACACTTTTATTTACTGTCTGCTCTCATTTTCAATGTTCAAAGAAATGTATTTTGTTTGTGAAATTGTTTTTTAAAACACACTTCACAAGTTTTCTAAAAATCACTATATATTTTTAAAACCTGTTAAGTTTTCATTACACACTTACATGAGGCACACATATATCCTATATCAGTATAATATTCTTGCAGTTCTTTCTTTTCCATACCAGTGACATCTTACATGTTATCTGTAGTATAATGCAAAGCCTACATGAAAACTAGCCCTGTTCTTTTAATCACATCTCAGTTCATATTCAATTCATTTCAGGTACATAAGAGAGATTGCTGGCTGCCAACTGGAATATGACAACACAATTCCTTTAAACAGTGGTTGAATGAAAGAACTGGTCTCTTTTACTTTTTCATATAAATAGTGTACATAAAGTTCTGTGCCTCCTTGAATATGAGGACATCATTTTTTGAATGCCACCTGTATGTCCATATGTACTGATGTGCCCCTTTAGGGGGTATGGGGGTGGGGGGTGGAGTCAAACTGGGCCCACTCAGCACGGCGGCCACTGACTGGTCTATTGTAGCCTGCCCCAGGTGATGGAGAATTTGGTGGAATGAAGACTGGCAGGGGAAACCGACGTACTCGGAGAAAACTTGTCCCTGGCCACTTTGTCCACCACAAATCCCACTTGACCAGACCCTGGATCGAACCTGGGCCACTGCGGTGGGAAGCCAGCGACTAACCGCTTGAGCTATGGCGCAGCCTGATGTGCCCCTTGCTAGTGCTTGGAACAGATGTGATGGATTTCATTTATATTCAGCATCTGAGAGTTATCATGGGTGAGTGCCCAGTGAACAAGGGCATTCTAGCTCCAAAAATCATCCAAGCTCTATGGGAAAGAGTCATGAATTTCACACAAGTATTAGAAATCCACACATTTCATGCAAAATAATTCTGCAAGTGCCATAATTACAGTATAGGAAACCATTACATCTCCTCTGGTGGACATGTTTGTATGGTTTATATACCATGTCTTGATGTAAATTCTGGTTACACATTTATTCAGCTCTTTGGCGATGTGCATAATACTATATCTCTTGGATCTGACACAAATATGAAGTATAATAATTTAATATCACAGAGCTCTAACACTGGTTTTGAACAACCAAATTACTATTGTAACTGGTGTACCACAGAACACCTTAAAAACCAGGGAATGAACCTTAGATACTACTATAATATTGAGTGTTCAATAGTACGCCTGGTACCAGCCTGTCACCTTTTGGAGTGTAGGTTTGACTTGCTCACCACATGTGAGCTAACTTGGAAGCATGTGTGCTGTTGCATGTTAGCACAAGAAGCCATCTAAGCCCAAACCCCTCCCTTGGACTTATGAAGATGTGTTCTGTTGTGCTGTCTGGCAACTGGTTCAGCTGGGGTGCCAGCCATGGGTAATATACAGCACCTTCATAATAAATGAAGGCAGTGCTAGCCCCCTGCTGGAAGAGAGCTTTCACCGTTTCTTGTCCTTCTGCCATTGTCAGGAGCAATGCAGTCAGCGAGTCAAGAGCAGATCAAAGCAGTTGCAGTGCTCTGCTTTCAGAAGCACTCACTAAAATTTGTACAGATAATATTTTCAGTAATTCACTCAAAGTATGTCACTTGGTGTCTCATAAGGAACCATCCTATGTACACATACATCTTTGTGTTTAATTGCTAAAATTATTGTTGATTTTATTATTCATCGACTGATGCCCATTCACACTTACGTGGCTGCTTACGATATGGTTATACTGTCTCATTACATTTCATAATGTGTAAGTCTGACGATCTCACAGTGGTGGCTATGAAGATTTCTATTTTCTGGGATACAATGCTGTGTTCTGCTGAAAGTCAGCTGATGTTTTCGAGGAACATGTCTCCTCCATCTTCAGGGTCAAAGAATAAGCCAAGCAAGAAACCAGCATGAAGCAGGTAACAAGGCTTGCTACTGGGTTCAAGCTGGTATCTTGCTTGGCTTATTATTTGACCTTGAAGATGGAACCAACACGTTCCTCTGAAATGTCAATTCACTTACAGCGGACTACACTGCATTATGTCTCGGAAGATAGAATTCTTCATCTCATGAAGTGTTTAACTAGCACATAGTGCAAACTAATGTATGGTGCCTATTCCTCTCGACTTAAATTGAGAGGAAGTTATTTTAGCCCTACAACAGTGGGTGAACAAAGAGTGTCCTGCGCTAACCTCAACATTATACCACCTCACACCAGGTCACAGACATATTCCAGGCCTGTCAATGATAACACATCCACTGCCCACTGCTGTTCTTAGTGTATCCTCTTCTGAAGTCCTATCAGACCCCTATGCCTAATATCTAGTATCTCAAAACACCTGAGTGTACTGAACATGAACAGCCAAACCTAGCACCAACATCCCATTTATCCTTTGTGGACGCAGATCCACTGGTGTCTGACTCCCAAAGTTTCACATATACACTTTGGTACAAGAAACGAAGCAAGGAGCTGAAGACAGACTCCACTGCCAGCATTAAATGGTCCCAGTAGAAGTTGTGAGACTAGGGCTGTGGATGGCTATGGCATGAGTTCAGTGTACTGGAACCATGATAATGTTCTGATGGATAACTGCTTTTACTTAAATGTTGATGCATATTCAGTTTACAGTATACAATAATGCTCCATCTTACAGCAGACACGAACCATCTCTGACATGTGCTAATAAAGTTAGTGACCCTTCTAAACTCACCCTTTGCCCTGCGTTCCTCTTCTTTTAAGCGTTCTAGTAGGCCATGTTCCTCTGCTACGAACATGCGATCAATCATCATCAGCTCAGAAGTATTCACCTCACGCTGTCAGCAAATCAAAAACAATTTGCATCTTACAGAAACTGATAAGCACATGCTACCAGCATTATATTCTCATGATACAATAATATCAAAAGCACTGAGAAAGTGTGCAATTAAGCTTACGCTCCCCAGAGAATATATTACTTGTGTGACATATTCAGAGTTCACTTCTTAGTGCTGTATTTGTCCATATATAAGATGCATGACCAAAGTTACGCGGTCTTGAAATGAAATCAATCATTCCTGCAAGTACATCATTTTTTATTTTTAAATGACTTCGGACTTCTTTCATTATAATAAGATGCTGGCTGTAAATTGCATTGAACATCTGTCTTACTGCAACTTTGCAGCTCAATATCTTCATTTCTTCATCACTGTCAGTATTGATGAGCGTAGATTACCACACCTTCACTGGATCTAGGCAATGCAATGCAATGCCATTTTCTCTTTAATAAATTCTTATATGCTGCACCCAAATTCTGAAAGGGAACTTTTGGGAGGGATTGTGTGTCTTTAAAGGAGGATCGAGAAGTCGCGCACAGCACTCTAAGCAATTATATTTTGCTGGTTTAATGCATAAACTACAAGACATACAGCACTTACTATTAATGTATATAACCTTACATCTTAGAAATGCAAAATCAAATCATGTCTTTACAACATATGCTCGAAATGGCTTCCCTGTTCAGCAATACCATGTTTGAGGCCACTTTGTGGAGCACCTGTAAAATGATGCTGTTAATCGTCATTGTAATGTTCCTCTTGAGGTCATCAAGTGTATGCGGATAGACAATTCCTTTGAGGTACCCCCAAAGAGAAAATCTGTGGGTGACAAATTCGGCAAATGCGGGGGCCACAATCCTTTCGAAATGAGTTAGTCACCAAAAAACTCGCGCAAGAACTGCATGGTTTCATTAGATGTGTGACATGTGGCACAGTCTTGCTGCAACCAACACTCACGTTCATCAACTTCAATAAGCGCAATAAAGTGTGTAATGCTGTCGTGGTACACTGGACTGTTCACTGTTGTTTCAAAGAAATTAGGCCCACTATTCGACGACGTGATACAGCACACCACACTCCAATTTTCTGACAGTGCAAGGGCTTTCCATGTAACACAAATGGATTTTCAGATGATCAAATCCTACTGTTTTGACTGTTCATGTAGCCACTAAGGTGAAACCACGCTTTGTCAGTGAAGAAAACCTGATCAGACTTCAATTCCATGGATGCCAACAAATGTCTGAAACCATCTACACATTAAGCGTTTTTCTTTATCCAGGTCCCTCAGTTTCTGCACACAGCGAACACGATATGCACGAAGGTGTAACTACTTCATCGCTTTCTGAGCACTTCCGTATGAAATCCCTGATTGTGCTGATAGTCTCCTCAGGCCTTTTGAAGGGGAATGCTGCAACATTTTCTCCGTGTCATCCAGTTTAGCTTCAGTCAAACTGGCCGGTCTCCTGGATCTCTTCCTATCAGAAACTGATCCACATTCCCGAAATCGGTTGATTATTCTCGTTATTGTCGAATTGTTAGGAACTGCAGAATCCAGATATTCCCTAACTTGTCTGTGACACGTGCATAAGAATGACTGGCAAAATAATGTTCCACATTGAAAACTTGTTGTTCTTGGGAAAATGACATGTCTGTCACGCAATACTGCAGACTGCAGACGTTGTATTACTGATACACAACAGATGGCGTTTCTACTCGTTGTTAGTACTCCTACAGTACCATCTAGCGGTAGGAGATATGATTATATTAACTGCAATACAATTTATAACAACTTTCAGTTTGATGTGCGTGACTTTTCGATCTCCCAGTATAAAGCCAAATACAGCGTATATTCTACCTTGTCCTTTTTGTAAAAATTTATTGTACTAGCTTAAACATAATTACAGCAATTGATTCAACTGCTAAAAATTAAGTTCATCTTTGTTGTATTAATTTTTTGTTTTGTGCTAAAAATGACTTCAAATACAGCATTTCATATATTGTACTGAAAATTATACCAGATTATACCAAATCTCTGAATTCCTACAATTTTATGATCATAGCATTATTATAATATACTAGTGGCCCATTTATTGAATAAACTGCATAGTTAATATTCACAGCATTGTATGAAAGAGAATGGCATGGAATTCTTACATGGGATTCCCCACATACTCAGAATGAAAATATGGAATAAAAGATGAGCTCAATGTGTAAATATGATATTTATAAATATAACCTTTCACATATTTTATTACTCTTTATACACATCTATGTACGTTGTGCAATCCAAAAGTTCCCAAAATAAATTAATAAAAACTATTATGTCATACCTGGATCTTATTCTGCACCATAACCTTCAAAGTAGTCCCCTTGGGAGTGTGTACACTTGAATTTCCTCAACTGTATCAAATCTTCGCCCCTTCAACTTGATTTTCGTCTTGGGGAAGAGAAAAAAGTCGCATGGAGCTAAGTTTGGCGAGTACGGTGGGTGGGGAACAACTGCCATCTTGTTTTTAGCCAAAAATTCCTGCACAATATAAGCCGTATGAGGTCATGCGTTGTCATTGTGGAATACCCAGTCATTCATGCCCCACTTTTTGGATGTTTTCTCCTCATGTCCTCCCTCAAACGCCTTAGAACACTGTGATAGAACTCTTTATTGACTGTCTGACCAGGAGGGACGAACTCCTTATGAACAATCCCGTCAGTACCAAAAAACAGATCAACATGGACTTAATGTTAATCTTGACTTGTCAAACTTTTTTTGGCCGAGGTGAAGAAGGGCTCTTCCGTTGCGACAACTGCTGCTTACTTTCAGGGTTGCAGCCATAAACCCAACTTTCATCACCAATGACAACCTTTGAAAGAAAGTTTGGATCCTCTTGAAGCTGTTGTTGAAGATCCCTGCAGACTTCCAAGCAATGCTGCTTCTGTTCATTTTGCAGCAGTCGTGGCACAGACTTTGCCGCAATCCTCGTGTTCAGTTCCTCTGACAAAATTTGTTGACATGTACCATAACTTAGTCCCAAGGTGTTACAGAGGTCTTGGATGGTCAGTCTATGATCTTGCAGAATCAGATCCCTAACTTTCCTGACATTTTCTGGTGTGGTGCCAGTTGACGGCTGTCCCGAACAATTGTCATCATCAGTCGATGTTCGGCCATTTTTAAATGCTTATACCAGTCGTAGGTTTGTGTCTGGCCTAAACTGTTGTCAGCAATAGCTTGCTTCAACATTTTGTGTGTTTCTGCAGCGGTTTTCCCAAGTTTAAAACAAAACTTTATACAGACACGCTGCTCCCTCAGGTCAGCCATTGCAAAACCGCAAGCTCACAGAAACACAACAATGGAAATATGTTCACCACCAATAAACCCAACCATTCAACTTGATGCTGCTTGCCACACTGATTCAAGAAGGGTGTTGGGGAGACACCTAGCAGCATTTGATGTACTCATAACCATTCACACGCACAATTAAAATGTTGGGAACTTCTGCATTGCACCATGTACCTTTTATCTATTCATAAATATTATGTAGTCCATCTTTGGTTAATTTTGTACTTTTAATTATCATAATCTTGGGATTTTAACAAAAAGAAAAATGTGAAGCTCTGAGAATTTGTACACATTTACTTCTGTGGGCACAGAAGCTCTATGTCTTCTATAAAAGAAAGTTTTACAGACTTCAATTTTTTTCAGAAAGTCTGATTAAAAGTAATAATACAAATTAGGGAAACAAACCTTATTCTTGTGCATAAAAATCACAGGCATTTTAAATTCAACACTATAAACGGGACAAATGGATGTTGTTAGGGTATGATGCCTTTTGAAATAAAACAACTTACCATGCTTTCCATGAGTAGGAGATAGCGGTATTTGTTCATCATTTGTCGGAACTTGTCCAACAGATGTTTAGCTGTTGCCTCAAAAAACTCATCTGCCTTCTCCAGGTCTTGCTGTGAAAGAAGCTGTTCATTGAACACGTGGTAACGTATGAGGCGCTTACAGGCATCACTTGTACTTTGAAATGGTGTACATGTGTCCGGCATGCATGCTCCACCCTGGTCTGTCTTGAGTTGCTGCTCAATTCTGCAGCAGAAGGGAATGTGAAACATTAATGCACTGTGGAGCTTAATTAGTATGACATATGTGTTGACAAAAACAAGATTCACATTAATAGTGAAAACAAGCAAACAACAAACAAATATCTGAAATACATTTCATTAGATGGGGGGTACGCGGTAGCATAGTGGTTAAGGTACTATGCTACAAGCTGGAAGGTCGCGGGTTGAAGTCCCGATGAGGCCATTGGATTTTTTTCAATTGACTTAATCCTTCCGGCCACACTAGGCCCTGGGGTTTACTCAGCCTCTAACAGAAATGAGTACCAGGAATTAATTAAATGATTTTCCTGGGGAGTAAAGTGCGGCCGGCGTGTAAGGCTGATAACATTACCGCCATCTCTGAGCCGACTGTCAAGGTAATGCGAGACCCTTAACGTCTCACAACCCTATGGGCCTTCACGGCCTTACTTACTTTTACATTTCATTAGATACTGTATTTATATTAAAAAATCATACTGACACATATTACTTTTTTAATATTAATGTGGCAGTTACCACCCACCGGTATCCCTACTTTGATGCAGTGGTGGGGCTTTCATAGTTATATGAACCTGAGAGTTATGCTGGCAGTAATGTAGGTACTGGTAGGGTCTCCAATGCTGGACAGGTCAAAGGTGATGATCCTGACAAAAAGGGATATCCTGTCCTCCAGGTTGGAGGTTAGGCAAAGGGTAGAACCCCACTCTGTAAACAGCTTTAATGTACTGTCTCTATATAGAAGTGGGGTACTTCCAGAGGGGACTTGCTTGACAAGTAGGCAGACCTGTCAGGTGGCTGGATTCAGTTGAAGAAGACTTGAAGACAATGGGCTTTAGAAATTGGAGACAAAAGTCACAGTATTATGACCAACGGACAGCAATAGCAGAAGAGGCCAAGGCTAATCATGGACTGTAGTACCTGCACAACAACAACGTGGGATTTATGGCATTTAGGAATAGCAATACTCCAATAACTATAGCTGTGGACAAAGTGACATGGAATACACGGGAAAATTCAGTATCAGTCCGTTACCAGGACAGTGTTCGTGGTGCAGGTGATGTAGTGGAGCAGTATTAATAACTGAATCTTTTGTGCCTGGCAGATGATGATCCAGTGGCAACCAGGCATTCTGCTAAAAGTGGCACAGGCTGAATTACTGTATGCCTGTTTTGTGTGTTAGTAATTCCAGTCTCAACTATAATATCATTTCCAATCATGCAATGTATATCTTGAAGCTTCTTCTCACATATGAACATGATAAAGTTAGCCTTTAATATTTTACAAAATTCCAGAAAACTGCCCACTTTTGCCTTAATCGTCACTTATTTACTCATCCCTATGTTATTATCTGAACTTTAACCTTTAAGAGACGGCCATTTAAATTCCGGTAGTGGTAGCGGGACGGAGTTAATTTAAACGCCTGCCACTGTAGAGTAATAAAAATTGTAATCATGTTACTCAAAATGCTGTGATTTCTACAATTTTTGTGATAAACGAACGAAATAAACGCTGCTTTTATCTAGAAAGAATATAGAATCAGTTACTGTAATTTATCCATTTTAAAATCTCTAAAATTTTTGACACTGATGCCAAAAAAATTTTTCCCCTCAATTTCAAACGTCTGTGCACAAAAATGCATACAGTTCCTGCACAAAACATTTCTGCAGTCTGAATGCCTGCTGGTGACATCATGCTCTAACTATGGCTTGTGTTGCTACAAGGTCGGATGTTTACGCTTCGTTCATCATTCTCCAGTTCGTAGGTTCCTTTCGGTATGAACGAGTGTGGGCGGTGTCTACTCGTTTGCAGAAACACTGACTTTTATCTCGTATAGCCAAACAAGAAGTAGTCTGTTTTGAAATATAGCCGAGCAGTGTCAGAACGTTCAAGGCTAGCGTTGTGTTTAGCTGTCCAACATGGCCTCGTATTTGGAAGACGCTGAAATTGAATATCAGCTTATAAATGACACCGATTCAGACTGTTGTACCGATGACTCTGAGAGTTATGAGGAAGAAAGTGAATCAGAAATTGAAGTCGATGAAGAACCATCATCTTCATCGGCAACCTGGGGACCACCACACCAGCGTGGCAAGAGGAGTGTGAATAATTATTCAGGTGGAGCTGTGGGCAAACTGTGGCAAACAGTTATAGCATCTGTCGTCGAACCTGGAAATGGACAAATAAACTATTTTTCCATCTCCTGGATCTGAACAGTTACATCCTGTTGTCACACAGAGAATTTCGTCTCGCTCTTGTGCGTCCACTTCGCCCTCAACGGCCCAGGGGTCGAACCCCTGCCATTTCATCGGGGTCATTTCGAATAGAGGAGGCCAAACAACAGTATTGGCCGAATTCCTCTACTTCGAAATTGAGGTGTCGAGTGTGCTCTTCGCGTGGGAAACGAAGAACCGTCCAGATAAAGTGCGTGAAGTGTGATGTGGGACTGCATTTCCAGATGTTTCCAAGATTTCCACATGAAGCCAACATTCCGTTAGACGAAGCAGGTGGGAAGAGAGACAACTTATAAAGCTGGTGACCAAAAATTATGTAAGTTGAAAAAGAATTTATAACTTAAAATTAGATTTTAAAAAGCTGGCCGCACGCATGGACTGCGCGACAACATATGGCGTCATTCGTCCCCTTGACTTTATTTTAATGACGCCATATGGCGTCTCTCGGCTCTTAAAGGTTAATGCACAGTACAAATCTATATAATCAAATTATACATAATTATGTTTGAAGAATTGAATATGTATGCATGCATGAATGAATGCACACACACCTTTACAACAATACTGGATTTGGAGTGTATTACATGCGCAGCTATATTTTAGCTTCCTGCCATGTGGAAAGTGTTTGTAAACACTGAGTAAATTATCCACAGGTTGACAGAAAAATTAATTGAAAGGAGAAAATCAGGAGGGCCAAGGGCACATTTAAAGGATATTTATAATGTACTGCTACAACATGCCTACAGCTCAGCCTGGTGGAATTCAGCATCATTCTACTGTTATGTTTGAATTCTGCTATTTTTGTTTCATAGTCAAGAACTTTCACATAAAATTTAGATTTCCAAGAATTGTATAAAGCTTGGATGCTTAATTATTTCTGCTTTAAGATTTGAGATTTTCATGACTGTGAAGATTCAATTCAATTCAATTTATTTAAACATTCCGTTGATCCTTTGTGGTACAATAATGACCAGTAGATGTGGAATTAGTCACAGACAAAACCAGACAAGTCACATCACTTTAACAAGATACGAATATAAATACATAAATAATTCATCTCCACAATACAGTATCTCAAACACTGGTCTAATATCTAAAAGCAGATTATTTATTAGGACATTACATCAATTATTACTTACAAACAATACCCAGACAACAAACAAGTCATAGATGCCCACACTCTATACCCAGGACACAGATGGAACAACTTGTGTACATCGTATGACAGCTATATGTTTAAAATGTTAAAACTAATGTGCTGATAGTACTAAGATGTGATGAATATATATATATGAGCAGATTATAAGTATCAAAAGAAAATTTACTTAGTCGGGAGTATAACCCAGGTGTTTAGTTTACTTTACAGTTAAAATATTCATCCAAGGAATAAAACGAATTGGAAAGAAGAAACCTTTTTAGCATCGGTTTGAATAGTTTCATTTCATTACTCAGACTTTTTATATGAGGTGGAAGATGATTATAAGCTCTGATACCAGGGTAGTAGGGTCCTTTTTGGAAAACTGTCAAACGTGATGTAGGAAGGTGCAAGTTTGTGCTATGTCTAGTACTGAAGCTATGAATCTCATGATTCGATTAATACAGATCTTTATTTTTTATGACAAACAGTATTATCAGGTATATATATTGTGAATACATTGGCAATATATTTCATTTTTTAAATAGATCCCTACAGGAGTCTCTAGTTTTTGCATTTATAATAAATCTAATTATCCGCTTTTGTATCCTAAAGACATTGATACTGTTAGACGTATTACCTCAGAAAATTATACCGTACTCCATAACAGAATGCACATAGGAGAAATAAATCATCTTAAGGGTTTCTTGTTACATAAAACCTTTTGCTGTCCTAATAGCATAACAAACTGAACTCAGTTTAGCTACTAATTGGTCAATATGAAGTTTCCATTCATACTGCGATCCCCTGCTACTCTGCTAGTCTGACAGGGTGGCAGCTATGTTTCATAGGGACATATACTTCTATTATGTAAACCTAAATTCCGTAACAAAATCAATTTATATATACAGTATACATAAAAGCACATTATGGGATATATTCACAAAATAGAAATTTTTATTACTTTGACTTTATGTCAACAGGATATGATGCAAACTGTTCCCATGCAGTGCCAAGTGAAATAAGATGAAATAATCTGCACTGCTCTGCTCCATGAATGTCAAGTTGAGACCATGTAAATTAATTTCTCTACAGAGAGTAAAACTGATTTCAAGATATTGTCATGTGTTAGTGATTAGATATGGGGTTTGGATTGGTAACAGGACTTAATAAACATTTCTAACATGTAACTACAAGTAATTATAGCACTACTGCTATCTACATGCTTTACTGTCCGCTATAACACACACTAATTCTCCCCAGTTCATCTACACTAGCCATTAATAGGTTATGTTTCAGCTTCTGCGGTCAATCGCTCCTGTCCTTGCTGGCTGGCAACTCTCTTGCAAACTGTCACATTCTCAGACTGACTGAAAACTCCAGCTAGTTCTCATTATACAGCCTCAGCTCCAACAATTCCTGTTGTTGCATGGTTATTCGTTACTGCGGAAACATGTTTACCATTCTGCGGCCTAGCGATGGATGTCATTTCTGGGTTTGTTATTCTAGCTTTCATCCACAATGTCACATTGCTCCCTCTTACTGCCATTTCTTCTTCTTCCTGGGAGGGGGCCGGCCCCTCCACAATGTCCTGTCACTCTTTTTCAGTCTGATGGAAGATCTGGATACTACCTTTATGATATCCAGCTCTAGGGTCTGCCTGAGGGTATCGCTTGGTATCTTCTTGTCTTCCAGATGTAGCTGCCATTTTATGCCCTGATCTCTTGTGCCACTGCTCCATTTGGTTGCAACCATCACCTTTTCTCAAACACTGGTCATTTAGAGGCTCCATGTACAATATGTGAAGTCTGGCCCTGTAGGGTGGTAACCATGTGGGCAGCTTTTATGCATTCTAGCTTTCTTTGATTGGCCTCTGACTCTGAAGCCTTCATTTATTCCAAGCCAGTCTTAATTTCAGCTCTCACTATTCCTGGCTGGCCTTTACTGTGGCTTTCATCAGAGCCTTCAACTCCTCGTCGTGGGAATCCATCTTGGCCACCATTCCTTTTTGGGTGGCTTTCATTTCAGCTCTAATCCCTTCTTGATTGGTTTTCATCTTGGCTATCATCTGTTTTCGGTCAGTCTTCATCTCTTCCATGATGGCTACCAGGCATTCGAACACCACCATGATTAACTGTCACATGGTTTCCAATTTGATGATGCAAAATTTGATTAATCCAATATAATTATCCCACTTCTGACACTGGTTGTAATGATTTGGTGATTAGACATGAGGTATGGAATGGTAACTGGATTTACTGAACACTTATAACACATAACTACAAATAACTATAAACTGATGCCTAATATACATATGTTACAATCCACTACAGCACATGGTAATTCTTCTCAGTTTATCTTCACTAGCCATTGTTAGGTTATGGCTCAGCTTCCATGGTCAATGGCTCCTATCCTCACTGCCTGATGGACTCTCTTGCAACTCTCATGTTCTTGACTGAATGAAACCTCCAGCTGGTTCTCCTTATATAGCCTTAGCATGGACTGTGTAGGAAGCACCACTTCCAACAGTTCTTCTGTTGCTACATGGTCATTTGTAATGCTGGAAATGTGTTTACTGCGCTGATGACTAGCAGTGGATCTTTTCTGGGTCTGTTATTCCAGTTTTCATCTGTCATGTCACAATATTACAATATTTCCTTATCATATGACAAGGGGTTCTCAATTTCAATTTAATTAAAAATAGGGGTCACATTATAAGCACAAATAAACAGACATAATTACTAATATGTTACCCAGTAACTTCTGGGATAACAGACATCTGGCAACTGTGCTACATCTTAAAACCTGCATATTCACAGAGCATCACACCAATCCGAAAATATTTAGAAAACAATATTCCTAAGATTTTTGTTACTGTTATCACCACATTCCTTGGAAATTATCCTATTCTGTATTTCAGAAGCTGTGGTATTCTTCTTGAGGTACATTTTGTAATTTGTCAGCACAACTCAGATGTGAATCCAAGTGTCTAATGTTTCTGTTACAACCCAGTCAAAGAGAACTGTATTCAAAGCAGAAATATTCTCATACTTACACCCCACAGACACTTGAGTTTTGCAGTACACTACAAATGTAAAATTTTGCTTAGTTTCAAGATATGCAGTGATCCTTTCATGGGATTGTTAAGAATGGATCTGATGTACACTATGTGGCAGTAATGCTGATACTGATAATTCATTAAGAACTGATGTTATTTTTAGAAATTTGTAACCCTCAAGGATGTTTACAATAGTTGCATCTGTCTGTCAAGTATAATAACAGGTGACCAGGTGGGAGAATCTTGATGAGCAAATTATTTTATTAAGAAAAATTACATATAAAGCCAGTTTTAAATCAACACTTATCAGATGATAGAGGCAATAATCCAGAAAAAAATCAGTATTTATGGGGCTAATGTATAATGATGGAGGAAAGGATCAGTAAATGTAAGTATTATGATGATAAGGAAGAATAAGAAAAAATTAAGAAAAACATAAAGAATGGGCAATGGGACTGTGTTTTTAAAAGGGGCCACAGAACGATACAGGGAAAACATCTGTTTGTGCTACAGAATTGTACATAAGAATTTTACCCAGAGAAGGGATAACATTATTTATTTAAAAATTTTCATTGTGAAAGGTGGTTACTTTATATCTGAGGTCTTTATATGGTGACAAATGCTTTATTTGTTTGATGTGGTGGAATTTCGTAAGTTTAAGTCTCATGAACATATTTTGTCCAGTTTACTGGTGTCCTCAAAAGTATGTAAAATATATGAAAAGTTGCTGACAGTATGTTTAACACAGGAACTGATCTCAGGATGAGATTCTGTAATACACGGAAGTTAGATTGACTAAGCTTTACTGAGCATAACAATATGCACTATATGTAACCAACGCTATATTAACAGTGCATAAGAAAATTCCTCCTGAATTCATACTAATTTCCTACATGTGAAACTGAACTCACAAGTCACTTCTACTGAAGTTTGGTCGGATGGGACTTGTTGTTGCAGTTGGCCTCTTCCCACTGCCTGTTACAGGCATTCCGCCAACAACCACTGTGGCAGGTGTCCCGCTAGGAACAGATGCCATAGCTGGAGATGATCTACTGGAGGCACTGCCCGAAGGTGACACAGGGGCAACAACAGCCTGGGGTTTCCCTCCACTGGTAAGCACCTTGCATCCAAGAACCGAAGGCTGACAAGATTTGTTGGAGCCAGTTGGAGAGAATGATTGCTGAACCTTTGCATTTGTCGCCGACGCCACAAAAACTGGTTGAACCTGTCGGTGGAAAGGAGAAGATAATTCAATCACATTAAAGTTTCCTTTCTTCAAATTTGCTGTTAAATTAAACTTAATATTATGATGAACATTTTACAATAACAATTTCAGTAACAAAGTTTTGTCAGTGAAAGGTGGAATAAAAATCTAGAATTACAAACACTTTCAGAGCTGAGGACAAAATGCCTTACATATTCATGTCAGCCATGCAGCCCCACCTCAGTGTATAACATTTAGCAAACCAGTCTTGAATGTGCCTTCCTGCATACCTTGTAATTTCCTCTACTCTTTCTAGCCAAAAGTTTTCCTTTCTTTCCGCTCCAACCAACTGCTAGCTGGACCCACTGAAGAGGCCTGGGTCATTCATGGCTTGGGTTTCGTTTCAGAGACTTAACCTTCAGGCCATGACAACACCTGTTCCTGATCCACTAGGCATGGTCAGTCAAAATCGCTATCATTAGGGGCAATAGGTGAGTAGAATGTAAAACCTTAAGAAGAACACCATCCAGTATAACACAAATGAAGTTATTTATTTTACTGTCTTTTGTATGTTTTGGCCCATGTGGGTCATCTGTGGAAGGCATACATTGAAATGAAGCGCTTTAAAAACTACAGTATTGCAGTTTTGTGTAATGGTTAAGATGTCACATATCAGACTGAGTAGTACGTATTTCCAAACTGTGTCTGACACATGTTATTTTAAATCTGTCTTCTGGTTAATTTTGTTCTACTCAACTCCAGGGAATCTCCTTGTTGGGATTAACTTTATTAGACTCAACCTACCCCTTTGGTCTGTGTTATGTAATTCTGACTTCATACTTTTGTTGTTACTATATTGTAACTGTAACTGTCACTAGTCGTAGACCAGTTATTTAATAATTCTGCCGAGTGAACTAGAATTACATCAAGATTTATGGTCACTGTTTTAAACATAAGGGCATGTTATGTCTTCATTATTCTTTTTCACTTAGTTTACCTTTTTATTACATACTCATTTAGTTCTACTGTAACTGTGTAACAGGCTATTTACTTACAATGTAACTTTACCTAATATGATTCTAAGCAAAGGCTGAAAAGGGGAAGGAAGGGGAAGAGGAAGAAGGCACTGGTAGTGTTGCCCTGTACCACCACACCTTTCCCTACACCTTCTTAAATCAACAACGTATCACTTTCATTTAGGACTGACACTTCTGGCATGAGTCTTACTAATACTGTGGCATGAAGACACGGTATATGACTTGAAGCTTTCGCACTGAATAAATGTGCAAAAATCTTTTCAGGCGATCAGATATGTCAATGTTCAACTAAAAACCATGTCTACATCGTCAAGGGCAATGAGATCAATGACCATATACATCACTGCGAGGCCCTAGCTTTGGGGAACCATCCAATGACCCACAAAGGACAGAATGTGGAGCCAAGCATAATCTCAACTCAGCATTATCCAGTTTAATGCTGCTTAACCTGGCAAGTTGTGTCTGGGCGTACACTGTTGCAGTGTACATGTGGGTATATTTTATTATTGTATGTTGTTTAACCTAGCTGCAGACCTATTCAACCCTGCTGTCTGGATCATAACATGGCTTTCTGAAGCATACTGGAGAGCATGTACCATACACAGCTTAGCAGGAAACCAATTATTATCTCTACTGAAGCTGGTGGCAGTACATAATCTTCTGAACACATCAGGCCTGAACAGAATAAATCCCCTCAACACCTATTATTAACCCATCATATGCCATGGAACAAATACCATATTTGAGGATATACTACTGAAGAGCAGTGTTCTGTTTCATAGTTTTTACAGGCAAAAAGGACTTTATGCAAAGGATATTCATATAGAAATGTTTCCTGTTTATGGTGGGAAGTGTCTGTTGCATAAAGCAGTTCACAACTGGGTGGCAAATGTTTCACTGATAACAAAGAGGTTGAAATGGAGGTGCAGAAGTGGCTGAGATAACAGTCAAAAGACTTCTATGCTGCAGGTTTAGATGCACTGGTTAAGTGATGGGACAAAAGTATCAGTGTTGGTGTAGGATATGTCAAGAAATAAACGTTTTTTCCAGGTTCCAATATCACATTTTTTACATTATATAGCCATTTGTGACCTATTTACTAACTCTCCCTCATACTTTTGACCATTTGCTTTCATCTTGTATTTCTAAGAAGCCTTGTATGGCACTGAACAGATGGATACAGTGCTTCCATATGTCTAGATGTTTCAAATATGACTCATTCATTCATTCATTTATTTTTCGTTCCATGGATCCACAATACAAGTGAGATATAGGACATGTCCATACAGTGATTATTCTTAAAATTAATAGAGCAAGAACTAAGTACATAAATAAAAAAGTATAAAATACAAAAATTAAAACAAAACATGTAGAATCAAATAGATTCCAGTCATATAAGTTAATTGAATGAAACATGCAGTTTAAATTTAAACAATGTCAGTTTGAACATATCACAGAAATTGCTTAAATGACTAGACTAGAATAATAGAATAATGACCAGAATAATACTGTGACGTGCTGAGCTATGGATGACGCCCCTCCCCCCCCC